CCAAATTCAAATCTTTAAGAGTAAAGACATACTGTAAACTACGATGATCTCTATAGACTTCACACTTAACCCCATATAGATAATGTCTCCATTGCTTTAATGCAAACACAACAGCAACCAACTCCAAATCATGGGTCGGATAGTTACGTTCATGCACTTTTAATTGCCTCGAAGCATAAGCAATTACATTCCTCTCCTGCATTAGCACCGCATCAAAACCAGAATAAGATGCGTCACAATAAACAATGAAATTCTTACCTTCCACTGGCAAGGTAAGAATTGGTGCAATAGTCAACAAGCTCTTGAGGTTCTGGAAGCTTTCTTCACATTCGTCCGACAATACAAATGGAACATTCCGCTTAGTCAAATTTGTCAGTTGGGAAGCAACATAAGAAAATCCCTTGACAAAACGACGGTAGTAGCTAGCTAAACCAACAAAGCTCCTTACCACTGTAACATCAGTAGGTCTTACCCAATTTTTCACTGCTTCAATCTTAGAAAGATCCACCATAACTCCATCCTTAGAAACCACGTGCCCCAAGAAGGACACTGAATCTAGCCAAAACTCACACTTGGAGAATTTGGCATAAAGCCTTTTCCCTCTCAACACTTCTAATACAATTCTCAAATGCTCCTCATGTTCTTTCCTACTCTTTGAGTATATCAATATATCATCAATAAATACGATGACAAAGAGATCCAGATATGGATTTAAAATCCCATTCATCAGGCTAATGAAAGCAGCAGGGGCATTCGTAAGCCCAAAAGATATTACGAAGAATTCATAATGCCCATACCATGTTCAAAAAGCAGTCTTTGGCACATCTTCTGCCCGTATTTTTAATTGATGATAAACAGATCTCAAATCAATTTTTGAGAAGGTACAAGCACCTTGTAACTGATCGAACAAATCATCAATGCGGGGAATAGGATACTTTTTCTTAATAGTTACCTTATTCAGTTGCCTGTAGTATATGCACATCCGAAAACTTCCATACTTCTTCTACACAAATAAAATAGGAGCACCCCAAGAGGATGCACTTGGTCTAATAAAACCTTTACCTAACAATTCCTGAAGATGGGCCTTTAACTCCCTTAACTAAGCTGGAGCCATCCTATAGGGGGTTATGGAAATGGGGCGAGAACCCGACTCCATATTAATTAAAAAATTAATATCCCTATCCAGTTGCATACCGGGAAGGTCTGCAGGAAACACATCCAGAAACTCATGGACTATCGAGACAGACTCAATTGAAGGTACATGGGAATTATCATCCCTGAGATGTGCCAAGAAAGCTAAACAACCCTTACTAACCATTCTCTTAGAACGAAGGAAGGAGATGATATGAACTGGAGTGGAAATATAGTCACCATCCCAAACTAGCCGATCTGTCCCAGGCTTGGCAAATGTCAGAGTTTTAGCATTACAATCTAAGATTGCAAATTTTGAAAAAGCCAAGTCATACCCAGAATTACATCGAAATCAACCATCTCTAGAATAATCAAATCTACATGAGTATTGCTCCCCACAAAAGTCACAAGACAAGACCTATACACCTTATCAACTATCAAAGACTCACCCACAAGAGTAGAGACACGCATAGGAATGTCAAGCAAATCACAATGTAAATCGAGACCAGTAGTAAATGAGGAAGATACATATGAAAATGTGAATCAAGGATCAAATAATACAGAAGCCATGCAATCACAGACCAAAACATTACCTGTAATAACAACATTAGATGTCTCTGCTTCAGAGCTCCCGGGGAAAGCATAACAATGAGCCCTATAACCTGTCTGCCCGTTGTACCTACCATGTTGCGCTGCAGTAACTCCAGCTTGCCCGCTACCCCGGCTGATTTGGTTACTACCATTACCTTGGCCACCACGTTCTCCAAAATGGTGGCCTCTCCCATGACCACCTCTACCTCTAACTATTGGGGGTCTGTTACTGTGTTTTGGAATATATTTCCTAATATGTCCAGTGTCTCCACATCCATAACAATTTTTATAGTCAAGCATTGTTCTCTTTGAGAATGATGAAGTCTGGGGATAACATCAAAACTCAGAGAAATGCTAACTGGTCTGCGATGGACCCCCAGCTACAGCCTATAGTGAAGACTGAATAGGTCGGGCTGGGTAACCTCCTGAACTCTGCCCTCTGGAGTAAGAATAACTAAACTCACCTCCCTTTCGAATCTTCTTAGATGTCGACGCCATCGTGAAGTCATCTTGCTTCACCCCCTCCACCTCTATCAGAAAATTAACCACTTCCTTAAAGAA